TGCTTAGCACCTCGCTTTTTGCTGAGGCTAGCCTTGAACTCTTGGTCCTCCTGTCTCAGCCTTTCCAGTTTCTGTAATTACAAGCATGCACCACTGTACCTGAACACAGAGAATTTTTAGGATGATGAAAACACTCTATCATAACATAATGATGGGTATATGTCATTGTACATTAGTTAGAACTCATAGAACCTACAACACCAAGTGGACCCTAATGTGAACTATGGACTCTGGGTGATAATTATGTATTAATTTAAACTGATCAATTGTAACAAAGGTACCACTTTGGTGAGGGCTGTGGATGGTGGAGGAAGCTATGCATGTGTCAGGGAAGGAGATATATGGGAAATCTCTGTAACTAATTATCAATTGTGCTATAAACTAAAACTGATCTAAAAATATGAAATTTTTCTAAAAATTTCTGAGATTGTGTGCAAACTCCTCACAAATGTGTTTAGGGGAAAGACCTTTCATATTTCTTTGGCTATTGGCTGGGTCCATGGTTAAAACTTAAAAATTTTTTTACTTACATAGGGTCCAAGTGAAATGTGCATCTTAAATTTTCTGTTTTCCAAAATGGGTGACTCCATTGGCTTTTATGGTTAAAATAACTCAGAAGCATTCAAAGTCTCTCCCCTACTCTAACACACTTTACTAATCATTTAACAGTTAAATGTTCTCAACTTTAAAACTTCATTTATGGGGCTGGGGATGTGGCTCAAGTGGTAGATCCTCAGCACCACATACAAACAAAGATGTTGTGTCCGCCGAGAACTAAATAATAAATATTAAAAAAAATTCTCTCTCTCTTTCCCACTCTCTCTTTAAAAAAATAAAATAAAAAAATAAAACTTCATTTATATTATATACAATATTGAGTATATTGCTTTTAACTCTACACCAGCAGTATATGCATTCCTAAGTGCCTATCATACACAATATATCTTCTTTCAATCTATGATTGCTTAGTATTCTGTCCATCTTAGACGTCTTTCTCCAAACCCCAGATAGCAATTAATTTTTCTCTGTACTCCCTCATTCATTACAAACCTTTCAGTTGTTAAGCTTTATACTCAATCCTAACTTATTTGTTTCCATGTCTATGATTTTTTTCAGAGGCAAAATTTTGAGTTCAGGAAAAGTGTCTTTTCTCCTTTGATTCAATCTTTAAATTTTTATCAGACTTATGCATGTCTGTGATTAAGAGGCAAATAATTCTATAGAATGAAACAGCAAAACCTGTATCCTTATCCCTCCCCTCTTCTTACTTGTATCCACCTTCTCAAAGGCAGTTATTTTTCTTCTTTTAACTGATTATTTATCTCCATCTCTATATAACACGCTTGTATTGCTATGTTTTAATTTTTCACTTTTATGCATTATCTATTGATAATGGCCCAAAAGCCTTAGTTTTCCTTCCTTCTCATTTCTCCACTATACTTCTCATCCCTCCATTTGCTCAATGTAGTTATATTATGCTTTCTTTAGATTGTGTTTACTTCATTATAATGATGAAACTATCACTCTCATCTTGGGCAGGTAGGAAACTATACTTACTTCTCTTTCTCCTGCGTAGGCTTTTGTTTTTGCTGTAGTTAATATTCTCTTGGTTTATTTTTTATTACTAAGCCAACCCCCAATTCCTTAATGATTGTTTAAATTTCCCTCTCGAGATGTTTGATTAGGTGAGGTATTCTATCAGTTTCATCTATCTGGAGGAGCTTCTTCTGGAGCCTTCTGACCTGCAAAAATCCATGCCTAGTACACACTTGTTGACAGGAAATCTCACTTCATTTCCCTGTTTCCTACATCTATGTGCTATGGTTTGAATGTTTCAACCAAAACTCATGTTAACATTTAATCCCTATTTGTGAGGTATTAAGAGGTGAGACCAGAGCTGTTGATGTAACTCAGTGGTAGAGAGCTTGCCTAGCATGCAAGAGGCTCTGAATTTGACCCATGGGACCACAAAAAGGTGGGGGGAGGGCGGAGAAGGTGGGACCAGGAAGGCCTTTAAAAGAGTGGATCTGTTAATAAAGGTCATCTTGTTCTGGCTCTTAGATCTGAGCTGCTTTTACCGTCATGTTATGCTCTGTGCTGCCTTGGGACTTTGGCAGAGTCTACACCAGCAAGTCCTTTACCAGATGCTACCCCTTAATCTTGGACTGCTCAGTCTCAGTAACTGTGAGTTGAATGAAACCTTTCTTCCTTTTTTTTAAAAAAACTTTAGTTATAGATGGACACAATATCTTTATTTTATTTTTATGTGGGGCTGAGGATCGAACCCAGTGCCTCACACATACTGGGTGAGCACTCTACCCACTGAGCCACAACCCAAGCCTCCAAACCTTTATTCTTTATAAAATATCCAGTCTGTGGTATTATAGAAACAGAAAACAGACTAAGACACTATGTCTTTTCTCATTGATTACTTTCTCATTTTAGGGGAACATAACCTTCAGTAGTTTCCTGTGAAAGAAAAGGTAAATGAAAGGTCAAATTTTGAGATCTTGAATGTCTGAATTTGCCTTTATTCTAATCTCAAACTTGAGTGATGGGTTACTAATCAAATATAGCATTCTAGTTTTAAATAAATTTCCTTTAGATATTTGATGAAATTACTCTTTGGTCCTCTTTGTTGCTCTGAGAAATCCAACAATATTGATTCTTCTTATTATTATCTTTTTTAAAATTTTAGCCACTGAACTAAATCTCCAGTCCTTTTTATTTTATTTTTTGGTGGTGCTGGGTTCAAACCTAGGGCCTTGAACATGCTAGGCAAACACTTTACTACCATGCTATTGAAGCCAGAATTAAACAGGCAGATAGGCAAGGGTCAGATCCAGAGAATGGGGGAATAGAGATGTTATTTCCTTCAGAGCCCTTCCTCTATCCTTATCAAGATAACCTGCTCCTGCTCTAACCCGTTGCTAAGGTAACCTGTTCCAGGGATTGTCCTTCCTTATAAGGAGTTGTTAATTAAGCCCCACTTCCTGCCCAGGTCACTCCACCTTGGCCCTTCCAGCTCATCTACTTCTCACCTTTTGGTGATCCCACTGAACATCTCTTGGGCCTAGTCACTACACAGGAAGGAGAAAGATGGGGAAAAGAGAGCAGGAGAACAAGGATGCCTAGGAGATTAAAAAGGCAGAACACCCTCACTTCTTGGGGTACTAGGATACCACCTTTGGCCCCCCTTCTTCTTCCCAGAAGTCCGTTACCCCTTTTTAAGTAAACCCTGATTTATATGCTTGCCTCTGTGTGCTTCTCTAATGTCATACTTCACGAGGAAGCAAAATTCGGCACTGGTAACCAGCAGCATCACTGTAACTCCATTCCCTTATTTTTTAAGACAGGGTCTCACAAAGTTGTTGAGGAACATGCAATCCTCCTGCCTCAGCCTCCTGAATAACTGAGGTTATAGATGTAGACCTTTTTTTCTGGATTGATTCTTTATTCTTTGTAAATGATCAGTTTTCTTTCTTTCTTCTTCTTCTTTTAATTGGAGCTTTAGATTTATACATTGAAGTAGGGTTAGTGAATAGTTTCTCTCTCTGAAAGTCTTTTTGTCCCCAATGTTCTACAATTTCAGAGGGATGAGCTATGGAATGAATCAATTTTTATGAATTGTGCCAGACAGTTGGTGCATTTCAATTTGGAAACACATGATTTCCAGTTTTGTGTAACTTTCTTGAATTATTTTGTTCAATGGCTCCCCCCAACCGCTCCCCCCCCCCAGGATATTTCCCACCATCTATCTTTCAGCCATAGGGCTTTTCATTTCTGTGTGTGTGTGTGTGTGTGTGTGTGTGTGTGTGTGTGTAATTGGTCTCTGAATCCTCCTTTTAAAATACTATCCTATCCTATTCTTATTTTATGTTGGCAGTTGTAATTCATAGCATATCCAATACATATATTTCAATTTTCTCCTCACTAAAGAATTTGTTTCCTCCAAGGTTGCTTTTTCTTTTGCTTTGATCTTTATAACTTGAAGGACATGGAAAAACAACCCCCACGAAGTAAAAAAAGATAATGGGTCCTAGGGAGAGAAGAAAAGCAATAGGCTCTGGATTTTCAAAATTTCCCGCGTCTGCTGTTGTTCCCCAGACTTCCCAACCAACATATTCTGCTATGATTCAGTTTCACTGAACCCTGTAAAATTCAGACCCCTTTTGCAACCAGTTGCCATTTTCTCTCCTGAAAAATATGCCCCTCCGGTGCTTAATAAAGGATCGTTGATCCGTCGAGATCTGTCTCCATTCTTTTCTTTTATTCATTTTGCTGTCAGTACTTCCACATTAGTTTGTTTATGAAGTTATCAAATCCCGGGTTCCTTTACCAACCCTTGCTGCTAGGAACTCCCATTTCTCCTCCCTGGCAATCAGCAGGTGATGGGGAGCCTCCACTGGGCGAAGTGCGAGTTAGGAGTTGAAAGCTCTTCCTCCATTCAGCTCCTAGGACGCTTACAACCAGAGCCTCATTCTCCAGGTAGGAAACCAGAGAGTTATCCCTAGGAATCTGATCATCCTTAAAAGAAAGATTAAAGATCCTAACTGTAAGGTCCTTGTTTAGCATCTGGATGGCCATCTTAAGTGACAGCTGCATTTTAGGAAAATTTTCGCTTTCCCGCCTAAGGGGGTTCTGAGAAAGGCTCACCACTGACTTCAACCTTCACTGCCAGTAGGACTCGCCCGGGTCTAATCCCTGAGCCTGCCCCATAAAAGTCCCGAATCCCAAGCCTGTGTTGCCTCTCTCCTATGGAGAGATGGCCTTTATTTGTCAGCTCTAAATAAACTCTCGTGTGTATCCCTGCCTGGTCTGCGTCTTTCATGTCCCGCTCGCCCGCCCTGTTTCCTCGCTTTTCTTTCACTAAAATTCTTTGAAAATCTCCTATTAAACCGAACCAAATAACCTACATTTACTTTTAAGTTCTTAGTCAATAAGCTTACTCACACTCTCTAACATAATATTGTCTAAGATATAAATTTAAATGATTTACAGAGAATCTATGGCGTGGAGGAAGCATACCTTCAAGCTACATTAAGAGCAGCTCCCAGCAAGCAAGGGGCTTTACAGTGGCTGAGAGGGATCGCCCCTTTCCCTCCAGAACCTTACGGGCGGGCGCCCGTTTCCTGAGCGGCCATTCCGACCCTTGGCCAGCAGGTGGTGCCACAGCGCGGCCCGGGGCTACGCTGCCATGGCCTCTCTGGGCCCAGAGGAAGGAACCAGAGAGACAGCAAGAGGAAGTCGAGGTGGCGCGTAGTCCTAGGGACACCGAGTCGGAGCTGGTGTCTGTCGCTGGCCGGAGTCGCACTCCACACACCAAGCTGGCAGCGCATGGAGCCGAGGACTCGCGCGGAGGCAGAATGCATCCCACCGGCGAGATCTGCGAGGTCCTTGCAGCCCCGGTGAGGCGACCTTGGGAGGGGACGCTGGTGGCCCAGTCAGATGGTACAGATCTCCCAGGGGAGATTGTTTGGGTGAGGTGACCCTAGAAACTAGTGGTACCCGTGGCTGGAACCGGAGGGTCTTCCAAGACCGAGTTGTGCGGGCCGTGGTGACGCAAGCCTGTAATCCCCATTGACCCAGGAGGCTGGGGCAAGAGGAGCGCAAGTTTAAGACCAGCCTGGGAAATTTAGCCAGGCCCTAAGCAATTTAGTGAGACCCTGTCTCAAAATAAAATAAAAAGGACTCGAGATGGAGCTCAGTGTTGAGACGCCCCAAGGGACGTAGGTCCAACGAAGTGGGTCTAATGGTCTGGGTGAGATGACAGATCTCATTGGGTGGTAACCTCGGCGACTGGGCAGGTAACTCGGGTCTTAAGTGTCACAGACCTGGGAAGGTGGCAGTGGTGGCACTAAGGAGATAGCTATCTTTCAAACTGATATCTGATTGCTCTGGCCCCTAAGAAGCCCTCGAAGGGAGAGAGACTGGGACTCCTGTCTTCCAGTGGGTGTCATTTAGGAGCCCTGTATGAGTTCCATCTTACTTCATTCTTAATTTGTTTTGTCACACCTATTTTCCTTCTAGTGTTCCTCTGAAAGTGGCGAGGAAGGGAAGAACATGGAGGGGAAAAGTAAGTAGGCTCCAAATACCTTAGCTCTTTTTTGCCCAGTATTCCTTCCAAATTCACCCTTCCAGGGTCTGCAACAGAAAAGGGTTCTTAGCCTATTATCTTTCAGATGAACTATTTTCTTTCTGTGGAATATGCTTATATAGTAATAAATACTGATTATTATTATACACATATTGCTGTGTAAAGTTGTAAATGTGGGAGGCTTTGGAGAAGAACACTTCCTGACCCTCTACCTAGAACAGGAACTGGTATGGCTTCATTCAAGGTCTGTCCATCAGATACAACTCAGAATAATTGGGACCTGCTTGTCATGTTAATAATGCATCAACTTAAGCATCAGGAGTTTGGAGAAGCTAATGATTTGGGAAACATGACAAACATCTTAATCAGGTTCAAAGGAAGTAAATGATAATCATTTAGTTGCACTTTTACCCTCAGTGAATTTGCAATTAAAATTTGCTTTGGGAAGAGCACAATGGATAATTTGAGTTCTGGATCTTGGACTGGTCAGGGAAGGGGGAAAAGTTGGTGTCTACATTTCATACCTAGGATAAGAACATATGCCAGGAATGTTGACATTTGTCATTTTATTTTAATGTGATTTTTTTTTTCTTTTTAAGTTAACGTAGAATCAACTCTGTAAGAGTAAGTATGGCAAGTTATTGGAAATCAAGGACTCTTCAGGGGCTTTTGAAGTGAATTTTTCTTTTGAGGCGGGGAGTAGAGCATACAATAGCTCATTTATAGGAATCAGGGATTGATACCACTGAGCCACAATCCCAGCCCCAGTTCATAACTCTTGACAGTCAAGGCTGCTACAGCTTAATTCCTTTTCCTTGAAGGATATGAGGGTGCACCATAACTTTTAGTTAAACCCTTCTGCTATGGTTTAGATATGAGGGGTCCCTTGAAAAGCTCATGTTAGGCAATGCAGGAATGTTCAGAGGTGGAATGGTTAGATTATGAGAACTGTAACCTTATCAGTGGATTGATCCCACTTGGATTAATACTTTGAATGGACTTTTGGGTGGTAACTGAAGGCAGGTAGGACATGGCTGGAGGAAGTAGGTCACTGGAGATACGCCTTTGGACTATATCTGTCCTGGTTCCTCTTGCACTCTGCTTCTTAGCTGTCATGAATTGATAGCCTTCCTCTGCCATACCCTTCTGCCATGGTATTCTTCATTACCTCAGGGTCAAAGCAATGGAGTTGGCCAACCATGGACAGAACCTATGAAGCCGTGAACCCAAAATAAACTTTTCCACCTCTAAATTTTTTTTGTCAGATATTTTGATCACTGAGATGAAAAGCTGAATAACACACATTTCATTTTCCACATTCAGATGCCTCGGAAGTCTGATGCCTACCAATATATCATTTTAGTAACAGGATAGACACTGATTATCATATTATGGACTTTGTCCTTGTTCCCAGTGTTCAGTCAACTACTTTGCAATTAGTAGTGCTCTTTACAAAAAACGGAAAAGGAGAGACATAAAAATGTCCTAAATCACCAGTATGTCATTTTGAAGTATGTAATTTGATTAAGAATGTACTATATGACACATTTGAATTGTTATATACATAAAGAGTGTGATTTTTTTTTTTCTTATATGTTGAGGTAGAACCAACTCCCTAAGATGTAGCAATCTAACTTTTCCCGGAGGATTCCCTGTCTCTATTTATTTGTGGATATACACAACTCACTTATTTATAATAAATAGAAAAAAAAAGAAATTGTGAATATACAATGATATTAATATAATATTCATATATAATGATTAACTTACAACTGCACTAATGTATGATATTATGTATTGTGATTAATGTACTGTATTATTATATATTAATAAAGTGTGGATGCAGATAGGTCAATCCTGTTCATATTTGAAGGAGAAGAAAATAAATAGTATTGGATTAAGAACAGGAAATGAGGGGCTGGGGATATGGCTCAAGTGGTATCGTGCTTGCCTGGCATATGTGAGGCACTGGGTTCGATCCTCAGCACCACATAAAAATAAAATAAAGATAGTGTCCACCTAAATCTAAAAAATAATTAAAAGAAAACAGGAAATGAATTTTAGAAGTTAAATAGAACAAAGGGAAATTTTAGTTTTTGGTGGTAGAAGGAAGGGTGAGGGAAGAACATACTTGATACCAAACATACTGATATGTATTTTGTTAGTCTTTACATAAATAACTGAATAATAGCTGATATTTACATTTTACATTTAGGAATATATTTAGATGTTAATAGTTAGGATGACTTGTAATGAAGGTGTTTACATGTTGTTCCCCAGGAGGCTCTGTTTCGTTCCCCCAGCTTTATCCCCCCCCCCCACACTTTTTTAAAATTATTTTTAAACTAGGAATTACTTGAATCTAGACAGGTTAATTCATCAATGTGGAAAAATTCAAATTGTGGAGGGAGTAGAACTGAGTGTGTTTATCAGTGAAATGAAGTATGATTATACTTCAGGTTTTCTAAACTTGCCTGGAAAAGAAGCTGT